ACTTTTAGAAAACACGTTGCGAATTTGTGGAGGTTTATTCCTTTTCACTGCGTCTCTTATGTTTTTAAATGCAATCTGCGTGAATGGCACTTCGGCTCTTTGGATTAAGCAATGCATAAATACATGATGCTGTTTTGTTCATAATTGTTTATGCAATTTACAAAATTATATTTGATTTATATGAGTTAATGTAGACGTAATGCACATTTTTTTATAGACTTATTTCCTTGTGTTTACAATTTAAATGTACTGCATTATTTTGCTCATTGCACCCTCCTGTGGCCTCGGGAGACAAGACAAAAGTTTCCTTAAAACCTATTTAATCTGCATATAAAACATTAGAAATTAGATATTTGTTTAATTTTTATTGTGTGTTTGACTGTTAAAACAAAAATATTTGTTGTTTGTCTCAATAAATTGGGTTAGTTTAAAAATACAGTGGTTAAATTTAAATTTTTTTTTCTATTGCTCTGTTTTAAAAAAGGTTATTAAAAATGTCAATAATTATCGATACCGAACGATATGAAACATTATATCGTTGATACATTTTTTAGCTATATCGCCCAGCCCTAAATGCACATAAATGTAGCTTTATGAAAAATACACGATTATCATTGTTCATGATTATTTTATCTTATAAAAACAAAACTAGTTCATGATTTTGCATAATTCCTGTCTGTTTCTTTAATATTACTCCAACAGTTTCTTTTTTCACTATTGTTTCCTGCTGTTAGTTCAGCATTGAGTCATTCAGACAAATACAGTAAAACAGACAGTTTAGCAACAATGTTCAATGTAAAGCCTTAGATTAAGCAGAGTACAGACCCAATGTCAATAAGCCTCCTTTGCAATTTGAATAAATTGAGTGAAGCCTATAATTACAATTAGCACAGTGTGAACTGCTGATTCAGATCGTACTCAGCAAGAGTGGGTAAATGACGGGTAATGGGGTAATTTGGTATTTAAATTCAAGAACCACTACTTGAGTCAACGCTGATTGGTGCGAAGACTTGGAATGCTCTGTACTAGTGATGAGGTTATACAAACACACAATTAAAATGCAGGGGTAAGATAGTAAGACAGATCTTCCTAACATACTGTACATAGGTTTGTACGTGTTTCTACTTTAATGTAACTGTATAAAAATGGACTTGAGTTTAGAAATAGACTTGAGTATACCTCTGATTTAGTTTCTCATTTTATCACATTCCATAACATTTCATTAATTTTAAAACATAATCAAATGTCTTTAACAGTTTTTTTTAATCTACAGTGATTTATTCATCAAGACTCTATACAAAATTATGTCTGTAATGCCAGCCTTAAGTGTGCTAAAAAAAGTATAAATACTTAATTCAATTTTTTATTAAATTCTGAAAATCTCCCACTGACATAGTGATAGAATGTTAATATTAGAAATGTAGAAACCTAAAAATAATATATACACATCTAGAAAAAATGCTGGTGTACAGCCACAAATTAATGTTCACAGAAAATGACAAAAAAAAAAACTAAAACCCAAAAAACACTGACAGCCCCAGAAAGAGGTTGAAACGATGTCAATAAATTGGAACAACCAGCGGTGAGCCAGTGTTTTTCATTGTGTTGACAGTGATGAATATTTGCATATTGGCATTCTTTCTTGCATTCATTTGCATATTGAATTGTGATTGGTCTTATCTCTCTTACATCTACTTAACCATCTGTGGCCAACTTTACACTGCAAAAAGTGAAAGCCACATTATGTGCTGATACTTGTGCACAGTTGACAGAAAGCTAGAAGCGTACTGAGTGCCATGACAATGGCAGAGTTAAAGATGGATCTGATTTGACATTTCCTTTCCACAAAACCGAAGCAGCCCTAAAACTATTCCTTCACTGCCTTGCCAACACTAGTATTTCCTTCTAGAAATTCACAATTTTAGCCCTTTTTAGGTACTAAAAGTGAACCCCCCCCGCCCCCACCATGGTTGCAAAATGATGGTTAAGTTGCAAAAGTGATTTTCATGAGCTTATGCTGTGCCAAGAGTCACTATCTTTCGAAATTAAGTCTCTTCAATAAGACACTTTGTAATATTTGATAAGCTGCAGATCCATAGCTATTAAACTAATACTACTAAAGACTGTAATACAGCTTTAGATCAACGTTCAGCGATTAAACCTTAGGCAAAATTCTCAAAAAGTGCTGTACAGTTTGATTGTACTGTAATTATTCTGTGGATCCAACAGAAGTAGTGACTGCAAATGAATACTGATCAAAATATTTCATCTTTTTACGCAGACACACTTGCCACAAAAAGCAGCCTCGACCGACATTAACCTTCTCTGTGGTGAGCATTCTGAATCATAAATAAACTCACTTAACATGCATAATGTATGATAAATTATCACTGTACAGCTAAGCTAATGAAATGAAGGCTTTTATCATCTATCACTCTTGGTTTTACCTTTTCTCTCCCTTGTACCACTCAAAGACTGGAGAGGGGACTGCTGCTGCCTCACATCTCAGCAGGGCAATCTGACCGGGTCGGACCCCGTGACTTCTCATCTCATGGATTGCTGGAGGAACTACAGAAAGAAAATATAAACCAACGTGATTTAGGGGAGGAGCGGACACACATAATAAGCAAACTCATACACTCTCAGAAAAAAAGGTACAAAAGCTGTACTTGGGGCGGTACCTTTTCAAAAGGTACACTTTTGTACCTTTTAGGTACTAATATGTACACTTTAGGTACTTATATGTATCTTTAAGGTACCAATATGGACTCTTTAGGTACAAAGGTGTGCCTTTTGAAATGGTACCACCCCAGTGACAGCTTTTGTACCTTTTTTTCTGAGAGTGTATATAAACTAACGCACCGAGCCGGAAAAAGTTTTCATTTACAGTGGTGTGAAAGAGGCAGAAATAAATTAGCAGCAAGATTCAGAGTGGTCAACACGTGTAAATCCTATGGATGTAATGCTGAGAAATAACATTCATCCCAAGGGTTGGAGAAATGAAATGAACTGCTCAGTGATAAATTGTTTAATGGCTGTTCAAAGGCTGGGGAACTGAGGAAGGTTCTCTGAATATGTGCATGTAAAATGAGGGCCCTTTCATGTTCACAAATGCAGTGTAAATCCCTCTAGTGTGTCAGAGAGAGAGCTTTAACTACAGGGCGAATTTTTATTTTCCAGCTAGTCAAGTAGCAACAATCCGCTCTCAATAGAAAAAAGAAATTCATCATACATAAATCTTCATTGTATATTATTTCTTATAGCAGGAGCAAACAGAGTAAGCTACTAGAATGGCATGTGTTCAAATACAAAATGACATATAGAAAAAGGCTATGAAAGAAATAACACCATACTTAATATACACACAAATAAAGCAGGCCTGTACAGAATACTAAGTTGAACACAATATAAAAAAATCTGAAAATAACTCCCTTCAAGCAGGTGATCCACTTATGTCTTTCTAGCTAGCGTTAAATTACTTGCCATGTCTGAATTTGAGTGGGGGACATTTATATTCCAGGCAACTCGTTCTTTGAAAATCACCTGCAAGTTATTGAGGTCTGTGTTCAGACTATTTTTTCCTGAATGAATTTTTGACATTCTCTTCTATAACCCCACAGTTGAAGGTATGAAGTTCTCCAGGCCTTCACTGTAATACGTTTCATGTTATCTGAGGGCTGAAAAGGAATTTCCACTATTGTGGTGAGAACAGTAACAGTAACAGTAACAGTAACAGTAAGGGATTTTTAAGAATGATGTTCTCAGACTTTGGGCTCCATAGTTACGTCACGTAGATATGTTAAATCATTTAACAAATGTGAAGGCATGAGCTTCACCACACTCTACACGAAAGTGAGAGTTTCTCTCATTTCACGTATCAGGAATAATTTGCAGCATTTGAAAATCAAAGCATCTAACAGTAAGTGTGAGTAAAAAAATCTCACAATTTTTCTAGTTAAATGACTCAATGTGAGGGAGAAACATTAGTCACTGAGATTAGAAAAAAAAAATGGATTTTGCTATGGATTACCCAGTTTGCATGTCAGATACCAATCACTTGAATTAAATAATAATTATCTTCACTAAAGAAATTTCCATGACTCTTTTTACTCCTAGAAATCAAAATGTTTTCCAAGACTGTGAGAACCGTGTATAAAGAATATGGATATCCATCATAGTAATCACTGTGTTGAGAAATTTTGTTCTGTGATATTGAGCTGCTCATCATTTCTTCTCTGCACAATCTCCTGGGAAGGTATGAAAATAGCAGTGCGACACATCAACACAGCTTGAATGCAGAGTTTTGGCATATGTTGGAAGAGAAGTCTGTCTGATCTAAAAAAGTGGCAACGGATGAATCTTGTGCTTTGGCTGGATCATGCATTTACAGTACAGGCATCAGCCCATGAAAATGCCTAGGGAGCATTACATAACCTGAGCATCACAGATAGCATAAGATTTAAGGATAACATAAAATAAGAGATTAAAGGAACACATTGCTGATGACAAAGGCGAGGACAAATGACTGCTGAGCCTATAATATATGGGTGCAGAAAGGACAAGGCTGAGATTGCAGAGAATTTAAAATCAAAGTGAACTGCTGTTCGCAATCCATTTTACTTCAGTAATCTGTCAAATGTCAGTGAGTATGAGTGAAACATGAGAAAAGAGGAAGGGTGGGGTTAGATTGTGAAAGTGGGCACATGATATAAAGTTTGCTAAAACAATGTTATTTGGTATTTGGTTAATTTTGTTACAATTACAAATGAGTGGAAACATTTCTTATTTTTAATGTTGAAAACAGTTGTGCTGCATCCTTACTGAATACAATTATTATGAATTTTATTAACTTTAGCCCCCCCCCCCACATTAACCTTACTTACCTCAAACTTCTGAATATCACGACTACCAAAAAAAAAAAAAAAAAAGCTTTTGACATTGATAATAATAAGAAATGTTTATTGAGCACCAAATCAGCATCATGTGACACTGAAGACTGTAACAATTGCTGAAAATTAATCTTTGCCACCACAGGAATAAATCATAAAAAAAAAAAATATATATATATACTGTATATGTATAAAACATAATGAGAACTGTATTGAATTACAAGACACAAAATATAATAAAGTGAATTTAATGCAAGTATAATAATTAAAGTAAATAAGTTATAGTTTGATTCCATGTTGACTAAAGGACACAGGGCACACAGGATCCACACACCATAATGCATCAAGATGATAATGGCATTCAATTATTCACAGATCCCCATGCTGATGATTCAAATAAGTCAATACATTCTTCATTTACAATCATGCTCTATAACTTGACATCAGGTGTCAAAAGCAATTTAAAATACATGCGAACACATATTTGGATCCGTCAGTTTCTGCAGAGAAAAAGATTTTGGAAATTCAAATCAGGCGTCAGGTGATATGAAAGCGTTCGGATTTGTGGTGCCAAGTTCAGCCTTTTAAAGGGGTCATATGATGCGATTTCAAGTTTTCCTTTCTCTTTGGAGTATTACAAGCTGTTCGTGAATAGATAAGATCCCTAAAGTTGCAAAGACTAACTAACAGTTCAAACCAAATATTCAGATGTGTGCAATAGGCTTGCCGCGATAGACGGTGCTGACGGTGATACTGTTGTTAAGCCACAACACCGGTTACGTCACTTGCCCACCGCGGCACTGACCCCCACCGTCGTTTTGATTTTATTTAGTTCAGTAAAAGAACAGACACTACAGTTAAAAACTGAATGTGGCTGCTCAATGCAGCGTGACGAACGACAGTCGCATCATCACAGATCAGATTTCATTTATCCAGTGAGGAGAGTGAGTCGAGCTGACTGACATGAAGAGTGGGGTGAGACAGACAAGACGATCGCGGATGATTTAGTTTCGAAAGGAAATGCAAAAGCGCCTATTTAGCAGTATTTGGGATTTTGAAAAGCCTGTTGACTTTTGCCGTTTATCTAAGGTGATTTTGGAAGTTTTTTTAAACATCCGTTTCTTATTTAATTGGTTCCACATTGTTTGCTGATTTTTACTTTATTTAAACTTGGTGTCATTTATTTATTTTATTTGACATCAAGGTGTATGCCATGCCTCCAAACATTCTTATTCGTTTTGCTAATAAACTTTCTACGTTTCTTATTTATTTGGTTATATATTATACATGTTTACTTATTTCCAGTTTTGTATAGGCTACCTATTTAAACTTTATGTAAGTTATTTGTTATTTTATATTAGGCATAGCCTGCCCTATAGCATGGTGTATTTTTATTCATTTTGTTAATAAAAGTTCTATGTTTTATATATAGGCTAAAGTTAGTTTGATGTTTTATTTTGTTGTTGCATTCAAGCAATTGATGCCGAATTACCGCTAATTTGAAAGTGAACGTAAAATGCGCACGCCGCTTTTGCAAGCTATTTAAAAGCGAAGGAAAGCGAGGAAAAGAGGAAACGCCCCTGCCCCCACGGTGATACCGGTATTATAGGTGTTGTCACACGTCGATTAACCGGTGTGAAAATATCCTCACTGTCACAACCCTAGTGTGCAACGCATTTTACGGAGGAGGAGGACTGTTTCCTGGGAGAGTAGCCTACAATGCCAGTGTTCTGACAAATAATGCTGACTCACAGTCTGTAAGTACGTTTTCATATTTAAAGAATTTGCCACTGACGATTCAAATGCGAGTTTTGAGCAGTGTTGAGTAGAGCTCGTTGTTTGTCGTTTCTCCAATCACAAATGCAGACATGGTTTTATGTTTACGCGGTGCGGTGCGATGCAACACGCTTGAGGTATTCGGCCAATCACAACGCACTGGATAGCTGGCCAATCAGCGTACACCTCGCTTTTCAGAACGATGAGCTTTGTAAAAATCGACGCGTTTCAGAAAGGCGGGGCATAGAGGAGAAACAATAATGTACAGTATGTGGAAAATAATGTGTTTTTTGAACCCTAAACCGCATAAACACATTTCATTACACCAAATACACAAAATAATGTTCTTTTTTAGCAACGTCATATGACCCCTTTAACAGAAAACCGAATATCTAGCCCTGTTCACTTCAAACATTTGCCACACTACCTGACATTTCAGTTGGAATGCAGTTTAAATATTTCACACCTTCTCTGGTCCATTAATCAGTGTGAGCTTGCTTTAAATGGATTTGGATGCTATAATACGGCATTCAGAAGCAGAACCAGAAAATTCTCTGCATATAGATCCAATGTGAGAGAATCCAAGTGTGCATTTACTAAAAGCATCTATGCATCTGTTATATGTGCGTATATGCTTCAAATCTGCAAAAACACCTCCATATTGGAGGTTACACAAGTGGATTTCAAGTTAATTCAGCTTATGTGTTTTGCACATAAAAACAAGAGATTTGAGAGCGGCTGAAATCTGCTGAGGATGAGATATGGTATGTATCTGTCTGTGTCATTCATCACTGAGATTTGTGCTGTATTGTAAGCTATTGGCATGCCTTGGCAGGATGCCTAATAGCACAAGAGAAGCTGGCTCTGATATATATCCACACAGCTAACTTCTCCTATCTAACA